TCGCACACGCAGCATCGCTTCAGTACCTTTCTGTAGAGATGGACCAAATAAGATTTGCAGTAATCAACGGCTTCACCATGAATTAAAGCAAATCTCTTTACTATGGCAATAAAGCCCCTTTGAGATTAAGAATTCATATCATAGTTCGACAATTTGCTTGTTAAACGTTCAAAACAAGAATAACTTCGTATTTTTTGACCCTAGAAAACAAATTTTTCCTGTAAACGTGCATAGTTGGTCATTTCTTTACTTATTTTACTTATAAGTTCTTATTTCGTCCATTATGATGGCAGGCATGATGTTTGGCGCATTTTGTTCGATGACCTCATTAAACTGACGCGTGAATCGCACCACACCCGCCGTAGAACCGCCAAGTATTGGAGTGCAGCCCTGTACCTTACCGCAACAGCGGTCCGCGGGACGATTTCATGGTTAATACTTGCCCAAGTCAACAAAGTCTTATATCTATTTAAATGTCGGTCAATTGTTACCATTCCCGTCTGAGAAGGTTAGAGCACCGACTTATTCATTGGCTGGCCACCCTGAGTCGGTGCTTTTTGCGTAGGCCGTATACGCACTCTGAAAGCCACTACGACTTTGAATGGGAGTCGAATGCGAGGGCGATCTTAAAACAGGACTAATCCAAGTAGCTCTCTCCTTTAAGTATTAAAAAATTTCCGTGATAGTCTGTCATCAAACCTAAAAGCGTCAAGAACCTAATTTAAGCCCACTTATAATCCAAAGCGGTGAAGAGGAGAGCTCTAAGTTGATTTTTTAGGTAAACTTCTGTCCATCAACAGAATGTCATCATCGTTGGATAAGGTGGAGGGAACAAAGGGTAAGCAGACAATTTCTATTATTCTCAAAAGCCTTTGATCTTCTCAAGCAATTAGATTTTGTGAGAATATCGTACTTTCTATTTGAAAATGATGGATGTATGAAACTTTGGGGTTTCAGAGGTTCTTACTTTTCAAAAAATGCTCAATTTAGATCCTCCCAAAAAGTCAAGCACTGCTCCGACTGCTCCCGAAAAGAAGAAGAGAGTAAAGAGGAAAGGTTGGTGTTTTCGGTGATCAGTCTATCGCTAAAATGCATACTTTGAGAGCGCTTCCGCTGATAGCTGTTACTCAACAGACCGACCTACCGGATGAATCTACACACGTGGGAAAGATACTGAGTTGGGAGATATTGCATAACTGCATATTTCTGTTGGAACATACCCTGAGGTTTTGTTGGATGCTGATGTGGATCTGCTCACTAGGATCACCAGACGGTCTGATTGGGATCACCTTGACGCTCTGATTTTGAATGTACGGATGCCTCTGTAGTCGATGGCGCCCATAATCGTGAATTGATGACTCATGATTCAGTAATCAATGTATGACTTCCCAACATCGATGTCTTGGTCCTAAATTACTTGTTGAAGTGCTACTTGGTCGCCAGACTCGCGATAAGCTGGCGCTGCAGGAGACAAGGCCAAAAGGCTCGGTTGAGGCATATTGTAATGCATCCCATGCTGACATGTGAAAAATCGAGCTTCATTTTCGAACAGTATCCTTAGGAGGCTAAGACTGACAATGGAGCACACTGCCAAGGACATGGAAGAGATTCGTTCGTGAACGGCGTCAGTCTAGTTACTCAAGAACCTGATGAGATGTCCCTCACACGCATGATTGCGTAGCGTTAACTGAATTCATAGCGTTAACTTCGCATTTAACATTCTGGAAATAGAGAATTCGATATGGCATCTTTGAGAGCATTCACATTGAGAGCAGATAGGCGTTCACATCGACGAGGACCAAGTGAGCCATGCCTTCCCATCCGCTCAATGATTCCAATTAACCTTTTTTCGTTGGCCACCTATAACGTGAACATATCGCGATGGGACGCTAGTTAATACACATGAATAGAAAATTCGATCGAAAAGAACAGATTAGTCGGTCTCAAAAACGAGACGGCAATCGACCAACGATGAACTTACCATGCCAATTCAGCTTAAAAAATCCCTCGTGGCTTGCGCGGCTACAGCAAAAAATCACAGAAATTCACACTTCGAAACAAGGTGAACTTTTTTTCCCGATCGACTTCCCGTCTTCCCTTTACTTCATTTGATCTGTAACTTCGTAGAGAAATGGAGAAATAAAAACAATGAGCAGTAGGTAATGAAAAGAGGAAGCGGTTCTATTTTTTCATAGGATAATAGGTCTTGGCCTAAACCTTGAAACGCTTCCACGCCAACAACGCCAACAAAAATATCGAATAAAATAATTCCAGGGCGGAGTCAGCGATCAACTGGGACAAAATCGTTAACGTCGTTAAGTAACGGATCATCAGGGGGAGGTAAGCCATTCTGAGAAGTTCATTATTTGTTGCCATCATTGATTAGTCGCAATAAGTCATATAGCCTTCCAATGGTCAATCCTTGGTGTCGCATTTTCTTAAACACGGTAGAAGCATCAGAATCTCATTTTCTTCTTGTTGTACACAGATCGTCGTGATGTGTACTGTTCGAAGCGTAGTTTGGGCAGACGATTGCGTTATTCGATTCCGTTTCTGAAAAGTTACACCTCAGTCACGTGGAGATTGCTCCAAGCTCAAATACATCCCCGTGACTGCTCTCCACATATAAAGGGTAGACCAAGCTGAAAGTAGAATGTCTATATTTACTTAGTGAATGGACAATAGACGCTTACCTCATCTATTGTCTCACTATGACTGTGATCAAAATCTTTTTAGGAAGGCAAGAAGGAATAAACAGTGATGCCAAAGGCAACATTCCGCCACGACGGATGTCAACATTCGAAGAAGTAATGGAAAGAGCAATAAGAAAGGTAAGGATCAAGAACGGATAAAGCACACGATCTCCTTATTTTCCCTCCTGAGGCTTATGATGTTGAATGGGGAGTCAAAGTTTGAGATCTTAATTGAAGTCTTCCTTCCCTTTCTTCTAGCGATTAACCGTGCCGTCGTAGAGTTCACGGTTTTGCAGAGTGACTACACGTCAAGATCTCTCTTGATCACCTTACACCACCTCTTCTTTAGGGTTCAACGCGGTCGTTTTCGTTGGGCTTCGAACTCTATTCCTTCCATATTGGATGAATCTGTAGCCTTTTCGATACGTGTACATGGTGTAGTAGAGCTGCTCGTTATTCAGCTGGACAGGGGCTGTTTGCGTGATCATCCTGACGCCCTTGTTTTAACTTGCCCAATCGTATCCAAGCGCAGACCCACATGAGTATCTCCTCTTCAGCGGATTAGAGTTGATTTCATCCTTCTCGCTTGCGAGCCGGCACTCGCCACCGTAGAGCATCACCTGTATTTGACGAACTCACTGAGGTTATTTTTAAACCCATGCCTCTAGACCAAAATCATAATCGCAATTTTGCACAGAGTAACGATACGATTCCAAGTCCCAAACGAGATAGTCCCTCCTTGGAATAGATGGAAGACGGCAAAAAGATGGGAGATACAGTAACATTCATTGAGTACAGGTCGGGAATTGCGACCGTGATCATCACTCCGGAACAACGTCTCCGCTGATGGCAGCTCCGGCATTTCCACAGATGTGGCCTGCTGCTGTTTAACTGAAGAAGTTAGCTACTTATGCGTACAACGTGGACAGTGGTCAGTAGTTAAACCTTTACGCATTGGGTTACTCGCGCAAACTGCTGATACTCAAAAGTAATCGGACAAAAGCAAGAGGGAAAAGGTGGATTTAACGATTGAAAATGGAAGAGTATTTGACACTGTAGTAGTCTTTTTAGGAAATTCTTAGTGAATCAAATTGGGCAGAATCAACCAAACAAGTCGAGTCGGAGGGCTGACTAGGGGTTCCAATTGGTACGATTAACTTACTTCAATACCT